TATTGGTCTCCATGGAGTGTCAGTTCTGTGAAGTTCATCCCCTCACCTTTCCCGATTGGGTCTGTCTGTACCCACCCCTCTCCTTTATAATCCTGTTTTCACCCCCTATGAAAAAAAACTTTTTCCCGGTTGGTTTCCCGGTGTTTGGATGCGGCATCACCTCCAATAAACCGATGTTTAACCCCCGGGAAATAGTCAGCTCCGTTCCTCTCCTATACCAGCGGTGTACGCCAGTCCGCAGCCAGCACAGCCCGAGGCCATCAGACGCCGAAGGGTGCTAGCCAGGAATTGCAGAGGGGCGTCGGCCTTTCGCCCTCAGCTAGTCGGACTCTAAACTTCGGGCCACATATGTTCTCCTCTGCAAATCTGGATACCTTCCTGAAACAGAAGTCTTTCTGCAACTCTTTATGAGAATCTGGACTTGAATTTAAATGTGTTTTGTTACTTCTATGCCTCAGAACCCTAACTCAGGGTTCTGAGATAAATGACAGAAATTAAGCCACTGTAGTGAGAAACTTTTCTTGCATGTGTAATATGTCCTATATTAATTTTTCTTTTTTTCAAAACATTATCTTTCAGGGTATCCCACCAAAACTATGCAGAACAGTAAGAAGCCCAAGAAGTATCTGGAGTCATTTCATCTGCTTAAGACTCATTTTATTCAGTCAAAATTGGTATCAAATACTGTATCCATTGAGATACATTATCTTAGCCTTTTATCCAATCTCTCATCTTGCTCCAAGTGTAAACACAAAATCAGACCATCTATGAAAGTGGTTTCCTCTTCCCTCTATGCCTTCCATCTGGAGAAGAGAGGGGGTATCTGTCTTAGACGTCTTTCTTAGCACCACATCTTCATTTCTTACAGGACTCTGCTGGGTTTCCCATAGAGCTATCTTTGGCAAAAATCTCTAATTAATATTCTACATAAAAAGAACTGGAGTGACATTCTAAGACCAATCCACCATTTCCCACTTGGAAATGAATACATTGCGAAAACTTAATTTTCCAGTGAATTTACTTATCTGGTTTTCACAGAATAGAAGAAAATCCACATAAGTTTTTGCCAATGAAATAACACTTTTCCCAAAATATACAGGATTTTTGTGCCTTGTGCCCCCAATCTGTTCTATGAGCTTGATTCCTTGACCAAAATATGTCACTTTTGCTAATATTTCTGAGGGATTCCTTGGGATTTTTTTAGTTTTTTGCTCTTGAAGGATTCTTATTGGGAATAAATGAAAACAAGAATAGTGCTAAGAAAAGATGATTGTATCTTTCCATTCCCACTAAGACTGGTGAAAAGTCTCATTTCTGTCAAAATCAAACCACTCTCTATTTCCATCAAATACTTCCCACTTCCTAGCCTCAATTTTCCTTGCCTTTGCTAATACACTCACCCTTCCCAAATCCTTTAGTGAGGAGATGGGAGGTGGTGTAAGTTGGGGTTGTGGGACATTTTCTACCTGCTGTGATGAGGAGGTGCTCACCCTTGGTGTGGAAGCTGCCAGGACCTGGCTGTAACCACCACAGCCTGTCTCATCCCCTCTGCCAAGCAGGACTCTGCAGGTTCTGCCTCTCCAGAGCTACCAGTTATGCCCAGGGCTGCCTCCCCGCTGTTCTCAGCTGAAGGTCTCCAGTCCCACACTGGAGAAGAAACCTCCCACACCTACAAGTAGCCTTACTCTGAGTTTAAAAAGGAGGGGGAATGTGGAGTCCCCAGGGATTAAAAAGGGTTCAATTGACCATCTTGTCTCAGAGTCAGGGTAAGTAAGTAAGCAAGAGTCCATAGGGGAAAAAGACAATTGAATAACACTCTGTCAATATTACTACTGTGTTCTGTTCTAATTCCTGTTTGGAAACATAATAGGATGACCAAAGTGAATGCACTTTAGGCTTATGCTATTTCTGCATTTATAAAAGAGATATATATGTGGAAAATGTGTTCTTTGGGATTTAGAAGCTTCTGATAGATACAAAAAGACACACTGTAAGGTAGCTAGTAGGACAGAACAACATCTGATCACAGCCTTGACAGAAGTCCAGACAGCTTTTTCAAGAGCCTTCAGCTAGAAAGCCAACTCTAATCAAAACTGATGTCTCAGCAGAAATAATATATTTACATATGAGAACAGCCATGCTGAAAAGAAAGGCAGATTTAAAAACAGTGAAATGAACACAAGAGAATTTTTTTTGAAATACATTGATGCCAACATGGAATATTTCAGCAGTCAGAAAATAAAATGCATTATTAGTATTCTCAAATACACAGCATATAGCTTACACAAAAAATACTAATGATTTTCAAACTCACTTTACATTCAGGGATCCTGGCAACTAGCAATGTGTTGAAAGATTCCTTGCAGACATGGGCATCTAGGTGCCACACAGAGCAACTCTGTGGCAGCCTGAGGGGCCAAATCAGTTTGCAGCCCCAGGACCGAGATGACAAACACAATCACACTGAGTGCTCTTGGCTTCACCTTGCCCTGCCCTACATCTCCTGCCATGCTGCACCAAGCACCACTCAGACAGCATCCTGCCTGAGATTAAAAATGCCAGTAAAGACCAGCTGATGTGGTAGCTGAGAGTGGTCATTGAGACACAAGAGTTCTTCAATATGATGGAGCTACTAGTCTGATGGGCCTTTGCAATGTAGTTTATTTCATAGTTGGCATTAAAGACCATAATGTGTTCAGATGCTTTTTTGTATGCCTAATTCAGGTCACATCACCTGGCTGACATCATTAACTATTTCTGCCTTTCAGCAATTGCATACTAACTCGAGGACCTAGCACAGCAAAACTGGCATCCAAACCTTGCATCTCACTCAGTATTTTGTCTTTCCAGATGACAGGAGATATTACAGTGTCAACATCCATTTTCATTAGTTTTCCCATCCTCACTATAAACCAGAGACTTTGCAAAGTAGAAGATATTACCTACACACACATTATTAAAAAGCCAGAGAGCATTTACAAAAAACAAAAAACCAAAACATCAGTATTTAGCAGAAGGCATTGAGGTAATATGACATTTTACTGTGTTTAAGAGCTGGCTCTAAAAGCTGCGTGGTAGCAGCTATCACTTTGTCTGCCTTTCACTTAAACAAAGCTTTTTAAGTTGATCTACCCAGGATTCCCATCCTGAATATTCTTTTTGGTTTTGTTTGGAGAGTACTGCATATTCCCTCAAATAGATCTCCACAGCTGACTAAATTGTTTATATTCAGGTTTATAATTCAGATACAAATGTACCTGAATTAAGACACATCCAATTTATAGCCAGGTAACTGCATAGGTATGACCATCATCCTCCAACAGCAATTTCAGTAAGATTCAAAACAAATTTTTGCATATGTTAAATGAAAGATGTGAAGTATTTGGATTCATATTACTCTCTGCCAGTGAAGGAATTCTAAGATGCACCTGAAGACATTGAAAATAACAGCAGAGTGAGACAAAGTTATCCCAGGATGGCGGATTTGGGAAGAGCTTGTCCTCTATATCCCAGTGCAGAGAACTGGAGCCTTGAAGAGATGATGCTGAGCTCCTCTGCCTGTCCTTGTGGCAAACATTGCTCAATGAATGAACTTCTGCACTGCACAGGTCACCATTGCTCAACGAATGAAGTTCTGCACTGCACAGGTCACCAGACCAAAAACAGCACAAAGTGGCAGAGAGGCAACTTTCCTTAGTGGCAGCTCACAGTTTGCCTTGCAGAGGTCAGACCAGTGAAGTTAGTTCTTCAGTGTAGGCTCCACTGCAAAAGGTGAAACAACAAGCTGCCTTTCTTTCATAAACTCTTGCAGTTATTCCATTTAATTCACACTCTGAGAGTAAATGCAATGACAGCTGCAGAAAAAGTAGAATCAGTGAGGTGGAAAGGGGACATCTCTTGAAGTTTTCATAATTAAATTACAGCCATTACCAGAGGAAGCAGAAAAACTGTAAATCATTCTAGCATACCGATCCAAACACAAAATGTAAGCTTTCTTCCTAATTCATTAATTTCCCCACATTCACATTGTTAGCTATAATTACTCCAAAGGAATTATTAATTAGAAATTATTTTGCATTAGGCAGTTGGAAGACATGAAGCTCCCATCTGAAATAAAAATCTGTAATGACATTACAACTGTTATGGTTTTATAATAATGTAATATGATTAACTCTTACCAAATATATAAAAGTATGACTAAGCAAACTAATTAACAATGCTGTTTATCATGTCCTTTATTCTGTTAATACTCTACAATTTGTTCCTTTCACAGCCATTTTATTTATGGAAGGAACAAATTTTTCTTGTACTAATAAGAATTATTATTATGACAACATGCTTACATTTTAAGTACCTTTACAGTGTTCTAGACTGGGTTGAGAAGTTCAAGCTGGGAGGGGTTAGAATTAATACATGAGAATAGCCTGAAAAGTGTCCCAAATAAAACAGTACATACAGAAAAAATAATATGGAATATAGAAAAAATGAATCATTAAAGTTAAAAAAGAATTCCAAGATCGAGTCCAACCTTTGACTGAACACCATCATATCAACTAAATCATACCAGAAAGAAGCCATGTCCAGTCAATAATGTGTACTAATGAAAATTCATTTATGTTTTAAAAATAACATTTATCTTTCCAAATTAAGTGGTGGAAATTTCTATGGGCACTGCTGCTGGGAAGTGGGCATAATATTTCTTTCTGAGCTCTTTTTTTCCTTCCATCACTATACTGCTCCATTTTTCTCCCTAGCAGCAGAAGAAGGATCCTTATCAGGCAAGGGCACAGTTGTATAAATATGCTCCTAATCAAGCCCTCATACCCTGGTGTCATGAGTGACCTTGGTTACAATAATGTGACCCTGAAGAAAACCTGGATCTGAATGCTACAACCTTCAGGAAGAAAACCTTTGTATCCTCATGTGAGTTTTATGGTCCTATATCTATTTAAAGGTATGTCATTACAAAATGCTCTAGAATAGCTCAAGAGGATAATCCTTGCTTAACAGAAGCATCATATGATAGCTTAATCAAGCCTTTTCCATTTGCAGTATAGGCTGCCTGCATCAATCTACATTATTAATGATCCCAAAGAGATCAGAAGAACATGTTTTATGAGGAGGAAGAAATAGCTAAGGGAAATACCCAACCTGATTCACCAGAAACACAAACCACAAAGGGGAATAAGAGTTGTAAAGTAATCATGCTAACCCCAGACACTACAGAGATACTTCTTGCCCAGTAATTTAATGTCACTTATCTTTGTGTATACCATGGTTAAGGCTTCCAGCTACATGTAAAGAGAGGTATTTTAAAGACCTTGCTCTGAGTCCTTGAGAAAACTGGAGGAGAAGGACAGCCCCTCAGGAAGAGTCTGCCTTACCTGCCCTACTTTCAACACCAGAAGCATCTTTTGCTGGTAGGATAGGGCTGCACCGTAGTGCAATTTGAATCCTTATTTTCCACAAAATATGTGGGATCAGGTGCTAGTGGCAGAATCTTCTCCTTTGTCTGTTGCTATGCTATACTCTGTACAGTCCTGGCCATTGGTAAGTTTGGCAGAGGGCAAGGGAAGCAGGACAAACCACACTCTTCTCTCAGCAGTAAGGTGTATAATGAATTCAGGTGTTTGTCAAGCAGTATATGAGAAATTCATACATACTCCCATGGGGAGGATGGCCAAACATTTTCATGGTTTACAAAGTCTGTAGCTTTATTTGATCTAAAAGGCTTATAAAAACAGTAAATCAGTGCATTTCTGGTGCTTTATCAACCATCAAACAAGTCAAATTTGAAAGTAAAACAAATGCCAAATGAAACCAGGCTTCTCTGGAGCAAAGCAGTTTGAAAGTACCTGATGGACAGATGGATGGATGGATACACAAGATAACTCCAGTTGGACTCTTCAGAGCATAAGGTAGAAAGCAAATAGCACAAAATCAAACTCCCTCCTTAAGGTTCTAGTTTCCTGTATCCTGAAAATACTGACTTCTTAAAGTTTCTATATGCAGTAACACTTGTAGTAGATCCAGTTCTTCACAGTTTTGAATAGATAAGTTATATTTTAGGTAGAAAAAGTAGCATTAAACCAGTACTCAAGCCAAAGGAGGTTTACATTTCTTACAGTGAAATGGATTGTTTTCTCTGTGTCTACAGACCTTCAGAGTTATTACAAAGTTTTATTTAAATAAAAAATATCCATTCATTTCTATCTGACATAGACAGTAATCAAAAACATCTTTAACATATTTAATAACTTAAATACAAAAGAAGGTTATAACACTTTTTTTCTTTTTCATTAAAACTCTCAGGCGCTGAGATTCCCCCCTAAATACATTAGCTCAAAGGTGTTGTCACATTGTCTTGATCAAAATAGCAGTGTTCAAATCCCATCCAGCTGCATGTTCAAGAAATTGTTGGCAGTGAAGATATTTATGCAAAAAAATAGTTTTCTGTGTATTTTGGAGCCAAAGCATTAATGTAATCTCCTGTGGTAGCAAATAGCTTTATTTCCTATTATATGCTAACAAGTCACTCCTAATTTATTGATCTCCAGCATAGGAGGAGATTGGGAAACCTGGGGTTTCCCAAGCAGGTAGAAAACTGTGCTTAGCTGTTCTAAAGGACATTTGGTTTTTTCACAACCAAAGGGGTAAAGACCACAAACATGACATTTTCAGTAAAGCCAAAGGAGAAGTCTGCTTTGGCTGAAGACCCTAAGAAATGTGGCTGGAAAGAGAGTACAATAGAGAGAAAATGTGGAATTCGCACTCATCACCTATGGGTGTGCGCTGGAACTTCAACCCAGAACTTCTGAAGTTGTGTCAGCTGGGTAGTTGTCACTTTTGAAAGCAAGAAAAATTTGGCAGCCAGATATTTGATACTTCTACTGTAAAGCAGATGTGCAGAAACTTTTGTGACCTTCTCAGCTATCTAAGATTTTACAAGGTTTTTATATTATTTTTATTAGTGTTTAACCTGGAATTGAGTGTGATTCCAGATAACTGAACAATGTTAGCAAATGCTAATGCTATAGGTATGTCAACCATTAAAATCAGAGTTCTAGGACATGCTGGCAAAGGCATAGTTCAAGATTTCCCCCAAAACCTGAATCTGTTATTACTTATTGACACTCAGGTTTGGAGGCCAATACTAATAGAAACTTGTGCTAGTGATCACTCTTTTCCTTCCTCCCCATCAGAATTATTGAGATGTCAGAATCACAATATGGGAATGTAGTCATACACCAGGAGGGAGCTTATGATACTGCAAGGCATCTTCTTGGCTATCAAAGGGAACCCAATCCTGAGCAACCATAAGTATTATGTGATATAATCTCTTCTTCAAATGAACTCCTTTCTTTTGTAAATGGACTAAATTTAACTCCCAATACTCCTTCAGAAATTCAGTTTCTGAAGCTCTTTTCTGACATTTTAAGCATCTGATTAATTCCCATATAAATTTATTCAAGGCTACTTTATATCCATCTCCTCTTGCACCAGCACTGTACTTCATCTGAAACAGTTCTTGAACCTCCCTGATGCATTTATAAGAGCAATTACATACTTTCTCAAATCAGACTTTGCTAGAAAAAACAGTTTTCTAAGTATTTTCTGATAAGAATGCTTTCAATTTCCACAATCATCCCAATAATAATAAAACAGAGTGGTTTGGGTCAGAAGAGACCTGAAAGATCATCTAGTTTCAACCCCTCTGACACAGGTAGGGACACCTTTCTTCAGGCCAGGTTGATCAAAACCCCATGCAACCTGGCCTTGAACACTTCCAGTGATGGGGCATCCACAATTTCTCTGGGCAACCTGTGCCAGTGTCTCACCACCCTCACAGTGAAGAATTCCTTCCTTATATCTAATCTACATCTACCCTCTTTCACTTCAAAACTATCACCTTTTGTCCTGTCATTACAGGTCCTTCTACAAAGTCCTCCAGCTCTCTTGCAGGCCATTTTAGGCACTGGCAGTGTACTGTAATCCTTTTACTGGTTTAATTTATTTTGAAGCTGAGCAATCAGAACTACAGATGGTACTCAAGACAAGGCGTAATTCACATCCTTTAAACAGCAGAAATATTCCCACACCTTTTGCTGGGAAGATTTCACCAGAAGCATACACATATTCCACAAGTGGATGTCAGGTGCTCCACAACAACACTGAGACATTATATAATCAATTATCTTCATGCTCATTTTCTGGTGATCAGCTCCCCATTTTCTCTTCCAATGCCCTCAGCAGAACAGATTCCCTTAACTATAGCCTTGCACTGGGAATGTATAAAAAGTGATCCTGTTTCAGATGCTCCAGTCTAACTCTTGTACAACAACCTGCACCTCTGTCATGTTAGCATTGCCTCCTAACCTTGTAACATAGCCTAATTCAGTGTGCCAAGACTGTTGAATGACAAAAGTAAATAAGATGAACACTGCAGAACACCAATAATTTCCTATCAGTACAGGTTTCTCCTTGAATCACACTTTATCCGTCTTTCAGTTGTTTCATCAATCTCTGCCTCACCTGCTTTGCTGAAGTTAGGCAGAAGCTCTTCATTCCATCCATAAAAATATCTTCCATTTTTCCAAGTCAGCTCAATTTGCCACAACCCCTTCTGCAAACCACATTTGATATAATTAGCATTATTCCATTTGCTTAGATGCTGCTTATTCCCTCCTTTTTAGCTCAGATCAGTTCATGTTCCTTGATTAGAGCCCCTTTACTTGCTAATGATATGTACCCCTATGTAGTTTGCTAGTTACTTAAAAATTTTACTCTGTCTTGTTCTTTCCTTTTTAAGTCACAAATAATCTAGGCAGCACCCAAATGGTTTGAAACCCTGAACCTTCTCCAGAAATAAGGAAGGATATTCAGCCTTCAAAGACTCCAGCTTCCTGGCCTGCTGCCCACATCAAATATGCTTCAGTGACAGACACTAGCAGCCTTAAAAAAATATTATATTCTTCAGCCTTTTCTGAGCCAGCACACCTAAGGCTTTTCTCAGAAAATCTCCAAAGCACTTTACTGAGCTGTAGCTAAAGAGTCTCCTTGGGGTTAAGTCGTAACCTCTCTGGCAGTCCCTCCACCTTACCTGGTCTGGAACTTTTTATCTCAGCTCTTGTGAGTCACTGAGCCACAGCTGAGCAACTTCTTGCTCTCTGATACCCCTTTGTGCTTGTTCATGGCAGAATGGATCCACTTGCAATCACATATACTTTAAATATAGAGACAGCTGTGGTTCCACCTCAGACGTGGGAGTAGCTTTTTTCATATTCATCAGGTAAATTATTGCTATAAATGAAAAAAAGTAAAGTGAAAGAAATAATTCAGAAAAATAATAGAAGTTGGCACAATCAGATAAATATTGAAAAACAAAGAAAAGTGATATAACATGCAGATCTGAAACTGTCCAAAAGAGATTCTGTTGTAGATTGTTAAGTTTCTTGTGTTATTCCCCCAATTTATGTATTGTTCTCCCCTATTATGTGTAAAATAGTTTTGTTCCCCCACTATTTCCCGCCACTGCTAGCCTGTCAGCTAAGTTGCTCTATTCATAGTTGCCGATATGTAATTGCTTCTCCCCTAGTTTCCCTTATAAGTGAAAGTTGTCTCCTCCCTGGGCCCAGTCAATCACCCCTTTCTCCTCCCAGGTTTCGAGAACCTTCTCCTCTCTGGAGGTGGTAGTTAGCTAGAGTCCCAAGACACCTTCCTTACCTTTTGATTATTGGTCTCCATGGAGTGTCAGTTCTGTGAAGTTCATCCCCTCACCTTTCCCGATTGGGTCCGTCTGTACCCACCCCTCTCCTTTATAATCCTGTTTCACCCCCTATTGAAAAACTTTTCCCGGTTAGTTTCCCCGCGTTTAGATCCCGCAACACCTTCAATAAACCGACGTTTAACCCCCGGGAAATAGTCAGCTCCGTTCCTCCCCAATACCAGCAGTGTAAGCCAGTCCGCAGCCGGCACAGCCCGAGGCCATCAGACGCCGAAGGGTGCTGGCCAGGAATTGCAGAGGGGCGTCGGCCTTTCGCCCTCAGCTAGTCGGACTCCAAACTTCGGGCCACGTACGCCCCCCTCTGCAAGATTCCTTTTGGAAGTAGTAGGAATGCAATTATCTGTGTGACTTTAAAAAAAACTATACAGCACAGTATAACTCTATAGGCTGCAAAAATGGTTACCTCAGTTTCACAGCCCTGAAAATAACCATTTGATTTAAAGAGATGGAAGGTGTTACAAAACTTTTCATTACTAGTGCAAGCACTAAGTATAAAATAAAACATCAAAAAAAGTTTTTAGGTGAAGATTAAGACTCCAATGATTTCATGTCTCATAAGGATATTTTTTTACCTTTTCTCCCCTTCATTTGAATTTTTTGTAGAGTGCTGTCTAACAGAAAAAGTTATTTTCTCTGCAGAGCACCACAAGAGTGCCTCAAGGAATTTAGCCAGACAAAGTGAGACAGATGTGTTAAACAGATGGATGCCAAGAAGTGGCTTGGTTTCTTAAACAATGGATGTGAAGGACTGGGAAGTAAGAGGAACACAGTCTTGGCTGGACTGAATTAGGGGAGCAGGTCTTTCATCTTACTGTAAAGGAAAGCAAGAAAGCCACCTATTCCCTATTGATAAACCCATGCCTTCATTATCAACTTTTCTGACTAATCTAAGTGCATATTCCCCACACTGGCCCAGAGCTCAAAGCAGTCTTAAGCAGTCAACACACAAGGTGCTGCAATCTCACTTCAGCCCTTAATGAGCTAAGCACAAATGCACATCCTGACCTGCTGAATGAGGTAGAAACTGTGCATTGTCCCAGTGCTGCCAGAGGCTGCCCTGTGGCCCCTCATCAGCTGCAGGTCTGCAGGAAATGTGCACATGGAGGTGAATGGCTGTGCAGAGTCACATACACAACATCCCTGGCAGGGCATGCCTGGTAGCTTGATATTTACCTTTTGTCATGGTATTTGTATGGAACAGAAGTAATTGTGAAGTTAAAAAAAGCAAGTTTTAGTCCCATGAAGTATCTGAGAATGCAGTCTGCATTCAGTATCCAAACTATTTTAGTGGGCCACATAGTGGGTCTCATTTGCTACTTTGAAAGGCTCTATTTATTGTCTACAAGAAATAAAAAAAACCAGTTCTTGTACACCTCACTTTAAATTCCCTAAAAAGACCTTCTATAAGTAAGATGGATGCTCAGGGTTGTACTGAAAACTATCTTCTAAAATTATGTCTAGTCTGCTGCTTGGTAATTGACCTTTTTCCAAACTGGCAGGCACTTTACAAAATCCTGGATGAAGTCATGTATTCTTTAGGACAAGTTGAGTACTCCTCTTCCCAGGCTTTACAAAATGAGTTCTGTACCTCTTCAAAAGTATGTGTTACAAGGTTGTTCCTGAAGTCTACTTTTTATTTTTCATGTACTAAGCATAAGGTTTTGTCAAGGTTTTTAGGCATAAGATGATGCAGTTCATTACAAGAAAATTAACAACAGCTTACCTTCATTATCTCTCAGAGGTTACATCATGAGTTTTGAACCAGTGGACTTATACCGGGTAATTACTGCAGCTTAACAAAATAAAACAATCTCCATTTCTGAAAACAGATGTTTTTATTCTCAGATCATGCCTACCTATATGAAAGAAAACTTAGTTATTGCTATATGATACTACCCAGAAACAACTTAGCCACCTGATCCTAATATTTCTGTGTCTTCAGCTTTTTAAGAAAATGTCAAGTAGACTTCTTTCAACTGTCCCAGAAAGTCTTTACTTCCTCCATGAGACAGCAGAGCCATGCCTCAGTCTAGAGAAACTCAGACTGTAGTTCTGAGCACCTAGGAAAGCACACACTTCTGACCATTGCCTTCATCAAGAATCATGGGGTAATAAAGGCTGTCAAGTTTCCTCTGTGACTTTCCTGCTCTCAGACACATCAGTCACTTAATCAGCACTAGCAGTTCCTTTGCCCTGCACTTCACATTACATTTAGGTGCTGAAAGGGTTTAAAGAAGGACAGCCTTGGTGACTGGCTAACAGAATAAACAAGAAGGGCAGAAGAGAGACAAGAAGTGAAGCAATGATATTTTCCAACAGGGGAACAGAATAGGCTAGGACATGAGGTTTAAGTTCATAAGAGATGGGGTATTGTTACCTGTTCCTCACACAGAGCACCAATGGACAGTGGACTCATGACTGACACAAGCATCCCTTACTATCTTAAAATATTCCATACCTTTGTTGTAGTGTGTTTTAAGTTTCTCAGTTTGCTCCCCCATTTTATGCACTGTACCCTCCTTTGTTCTTTGTAAATGGTTCCTCTCTCCCCAGTTTT